CAGTATCTCAATAAAATAAAATATTCTTTTGGGGCCAGGGAGGTGGCTCAGTGGAATAAGCGCTTCCCTGGAAAGTGTAAGGGCCTGAGTTCAATCCCTGGTTCCGCAAAAAAAGAAAAAAAAAATCTTCTTTTGGGTTCAAGGTGATGGCTCAGTAGAATAAGTGCTTGCCTGGCAAGCACAAGGGCCTGAGTTCAAGTCCTGGTTCTGCTAAATACAAAAAAGAATGGAAAAGGATATATTTATGTATGCATAAAAGACAGCTTGGATAATTGTACTGCCGATTTCTGCTGGTCTTGAAAGAAGCAGTTATTGTCTAAATTGCTTCTTCTTTTTTCTGCTTTTTAATTTCTTACAACATTTTTGAACATTTTTTATGCTTATATGTGGTAAACTAAACTAATTTGAATCCAGTAGTATGCAATATAACTAGCAATGTTGAATTCATATCATTTTTAGTGAAATTCTGTATCTTTTCTAATGTTTTCTTAAAAAATATTTTTATTCTGCTCAATACCTAAAAAGAAAAAAAGAAATTGTAGACTAGATAAGAATATACTGTAGAGAAAAGAGTATAGCATTTAGAATGTTATAGACCTGTGTTTAAGGATCAGATGACCTTACCTGAGTTTCCACTGTCACAATTTTTTCACTTGAAAAATTACACTTAAAAATATCCATCAAAGTATTTTTTTCCAGTTTGAATAATAAATATTAAGAATTAAATATATATAATTTCGGTTCCTCTCTGTTAATTATCATCCACTCTCTTCAAAGACACATAATGAAAGAATGACAGAGCAAGAAGTACATTCTAGTTTCCTTCTAATTACTGATGTTCAATCTTTAGCCAAGTAAATTACACATTAGTCACATATTTGTACTATTGTAGTTGACATAACACCTTCTTGCCTATTTTTTCTTTCATGTGTTTTTGTTAAACATTATTGCATAATGGAGATAACTACATAGTAGAAGTTGAGATATTTTGAGAGTTTTAATGAGCCATGTGTTTTGAGACTAGAGATAGTTGTTATTGGTATGGTCATATTAATACCTATTTATTTAAAACCCAATAAAATTCAGTGGAGCCTGAAGTCATTGTAAGTGAAGATGAGTCTTAACTAAAAATTTGCCCATTTGTGTATATGGTACCGAGTTAATCATGCATCATTTTATTAATCCATTATTGAGCTGACAAACTGTCAGTTGTATTTAATAAATCAAAGGTTACCACCTGTAAGTCTCCCAGAAATGATCATGTGTCTTTGCCGTGACTGAGACCCCTTGGAAGTGCTCCTTTTTGTACCATCCTTGGCATTTGTTCCACTAGATGTTCAGCTCCTTTGAGAAAGCGTAATTCTGTCCTTTTACTGTGTGCTAACATGTTTGAATAACTGAATAAATTAGAAGCAGGGCCATTTATTCAGTCTTTTTAAGGAGGGTTGGAAGACTATTTGTAAGCATCAGCCAAAAGAGACATATTCTCTTTCATGTAAGTACTAAAGAATCCTGGTAAGGATAAACTAGAGCAACTAGTAGTGCTAAGGCACAGATAAAGCACATACTATCAATTTCTCCAGAAGATTTTTGTTAAGTCTTAGAGTGGAAGAAAATATAATTAATTAAACAAATTTAAAGCCTGACATGCTCATTTGAATATTTTATAAGAGTACCTCATTCCATTCATTTTTCTGAGCATCATATGACTCAACAGTATTCAGATAAGCATGGCCATCGTAACCTCCTACCACGTAGAGTTTGTCTCCAAGGGCGCACACACCAACAGCATCTCGAGGAACATTCAGGGGTGCCATAGTTGTCCATGAATCACTTTTTGGGTCATAACTTTAAAAGTTTAGGAAGACAATTGAAAGAGAGAAGCATATCATCTTACACTGTAAAATAACAGGTATTTATAAAATGTACATTTATCTATAACTGATTAACAAGCACATTATAAATATGAAGAGCAGACAGGGTTTGTTTCTTTGCTTGCTTTCTTTGTACTAGGAATTGAACCCAAGACACTGTATCTCTCAGGTAGGCAGTGTGCTTGTTGCATGGCTATATCTTTTGTCTTGTCATATGAGCAACTGCTTTGAAGAGAGAAGTATGCAATATATAAATATTGCTAATCTCATGTTACCTTGAATAATACTTTTAAGGATAAGTACATTACAGAAATGTCTTCAGCCACCAGAGGTATCTCAAGCATATTAAAGCAGTATTTCTTTTTCAAAATGTCATGAATTTTGTTAGTGCTATGATTGCTTTTGAGGAAATTTCACATACTGAAACCTTAATGTAATATCCAAAGTAACAAATGTTTCCTTTAGTATTTAATTAATTAATTTATTTATTTTGTGCTACCAAGGATCAAACTGAGGACCTTGCATTTAGCAAGCAGGCACTTATGTCACTGAGCTATCCCCTGTCCCTCCTTTAGTATTTAAGTTAGGGGCTTTTTTAATTTAATGACTAAAATGATACATGAGATATCTGATCCTGCATAAGTGAGAACTCACATTACAATGAAAGGCGTTAGGAAATGGAGATAAATTCTGTGCAGATGGGAAAAGATGAGCAAAATGAGAGGGAAAGGCAAAGTATCAAAATGCAACATGTATGTCTACCAACAGCCCCTAAGTGAATATATTTATTATGAATTTCACATATACACAAGTAAAATTTTTTAAAAATTAAAGTTAATGTAAACGTAATTGCTTCTATTAGATGCTATTCTTTCCCTTTTTATGAGTATGTATTTAACATACATGATATTTGTTTTTCCTGTATAGAATTATATGTACAAAACACATCTTGGTTCTTTTTTTCACCCCTCTTTTCTTCCTCACTCTACCTCCTGATCTTCTTCCCATTTGAAAAAGATCACTTTCCCTACTTTCTATTATATTTATTTTGTTCTTTATTTCTAATTTGGGTTTCACATGTAAGAAAAATCATACAATATAATTGTTTTTTTTTAATTTTTCTCATCAGGATGTAGTGCCTTCATTGTAATATTATTTACATAAAACTACTATAGATATTCTTATTTTATTTCCCTTCTTTGCACTCTTATGTATCAACACAGAAGTCTAGGAATGTTTTATATTTTAATCTGCAGATAATTGCTTATCCCCTTTTATTTTCAGAATATAGAGTTAAAAAATATTTATGTAGGCAATATTATTTGCAATCTTCACTAGTAATTATTTCATCAAATTTGAATCTTATTTTTAAAGGAGAAAAAAATTAAGAAAATTCATATGATACATTATAGTGCTTTCTGATTTATATATACCTATTTGTAAATACTCAATGAGAAAGTTTTATATTGTAAATTAAGTTTTCATTTATGCAATTCTAAATTATGTATATGTAAATTTCTCTCTCTCTCTCTCTCTCTCTCTCTCTCTCTCTCTCTCTCTGCATTACTGGAGATTGAACTCATGACAAAGAACAACTAAAGCATTTCATGATGACAAAGCCAATCCTACACAGGATACTTAAAGATGTTCTAGAGAGGGAACAAAAGGAAGAGAACTCCATGTATGAGATCAGAAGCAAACAACTAAATAGGGCAAACAATTAAACACAGGAGAAAAAGGAGTAAACTACAACATGTAAATAACTTTTCAATCATGTCAATACATCTCAATTATAACTATCAATGTAAATATACTCAATTATCCAATTAAGAGAAAAAGTGTGGTACAGTGGATTAGGAAACAAAATACAACAGTGTGCTGTATACAAGAAACACATTTAACTCATAAAGACATTAATAGGCTGAAAGTCAAAGGATGGGACACAATACTACATGCCCCAGCACCTCAGAAAAAAGCAGGGGTAGCAATCCAATTCTCAGAAAGTCTCAACTTCAAACCAGCAATGATCAAGTGAAATAAAGAAGGCCACTATACACTGGTTAGGGGAAAAAATCAAGAGGAAGAAGGAACACTTATAAATATTTATGCATCAAATACAGGAGCACCAAAGTGTATAAAGGATATCTTAATGATCATGAAAAATCTAATATCTAATACCATAATCTTAACAGGAGAACTTAAGAGACCCTAATCCCCAAAAGATAGGTCAACAAGACAATAACTTAGCAAAGAAAGAACAGAACTGAACCAGAGCTAGAAACAAATGGACTTGGTGGACATATACAGAGTGTTCCACCTAAACATAACTGAATATGCATTTTTCTCAGCTGCACAAGGGTCATTTTTTAAATAGACAACAATCTGGTCCATAGGTCATCTTAAGTACATGTGAGAAAACAGAAGTCATCCCAAGCATATTATCTGACAACAGTGCAATGAAACTGGAATAAATTACTAAAGATACAAAAAAAAAAAACCTTAAATATATCGAAATTAAATGAAACCCTACTCAGCAACAAATGGGTCACAGATGAAATTAAACAAGAAATACAATGATATCTACAATTCAATGAAAATTCAAGAACAACTTATCGTACATTATGGGACATGATGAAAGCATTTCTCAGAGGGAATTTCATAGCTGTGAAAGCACACATTAGGAAAGCAGAATAAAAACAAATAAATGCCCTAATGTAGCACCTTCACCAACTAGAAAAGGAAGAGCAAACCTAATCTTGAGCCCAAAGAAGGGAAGAAATTATAAAGATAAGAGTAGAAATTATTTCAATTGAGACAAGAAAACAGAAAATTGGAATATATGGACTCTAATTCAATGTGGTAAAAGTCATTTATGAAAACCCAATTCCTAACATAATGCTAAATGGGGAAAAACTGAAAGCTTTTATTCTAAGATCTGGTAGAAGACAACAATGTCTTCTATCACCACTAACATTCATATAGTTCTGGAATCATTAGCTACATCCGTTAGACAAGAGAAAGAAAGGACAGCAATATGAAAAGGTAAAGAAGAAATTAAATTATCTTAATTTGCAAAAGACATGATACTTTTCTTGGAGGACCCAAAAAACTCCACCAAGAAGCTACTAGAATTAATACATAAATTCAGTAGCATAGCAGGTTATAAAGTCAATACCCAAAAGTCAATAGCATTCCCCTACACAGACAACAATCACACTGAGAGGTAATTTATAGAAACAATATATTTACAATAGCAGCGAGGAAAATGAAATACCTTGGAATTAACCTAACTAAAGAAGTCAAAGATCTTTTCAAGGAAAATTACAGTACTCTTAAAAAAGAGATCGTAGAGGATTTCAGAAAATGGAAAGATATTCCATGCTCCTGGATAGGAAGAACTAACATTGTGAAAATAGCCATACTCCCAAAATTGTTGTACAGATTTAAGCAATCCCTATCAAACTACAAGTGACATACCTCATAGACCTAGAAAAATCATTCCTGAAATTTATCTGTTATGAGAAAGACCTAGAAAAGCAAAGGCAATACTGGGCCATAAAGACAAGGAAGGAGGCACTATAATTCCTGACTTGAAATTATACTACAAGGCTACTGTGATAAAATCAGCATGGTACTGGCAAAAAAATAGACCTGAGTATCAATGGCATAGATTAAAAGTCGCTGAAGATACTATGAACACACTCCACCAACTTATCTTTGACAAAGTGGCCAAACATAATCACTGGATAAAAGATAGCCTCTTTAAAAAATCGTGCTGATAACACTGGCTCTCTACATGCCGAAAACTCAAATTTGACCAAGGTTTATCACCATCCACTAAGCAAAAGTCAAAATGGATTAAAGCTCTAACCATTAAAGTGGAGAAACTAAATCTCCTGGAAGAGAAAGTAGGATGAACTCTTGAAGACATAGTGTTAGGAAAAGACTTCATGAATAGAAATCAAATCCCATGGGAAACAGTTGAAAGAATTAACAACTGGGACCTGCTCTTACTGAGAAGTTTTTTCACATCAAAATAAACTAGCAACAAAGTGAAAAGGCAAACCAAATTTTCAAATAAATCGACAAATAATTACTCAGGTACAGGTCTCTTCTCTAGAATTTATAAAGAAGTGAAAAACACTAGGACCCCAAAATTTAAAGACCCAATCCAGAAATGGACATCCGAGACAAAAACATGCTTCTCAGAGGATGAAATTAAAGTAGAGAATAAATACATGAAAAAATGTTCCATATCACTAGATATTCGCAAAATGCAAATTAAGACAACATTGAGATATCATCTCACCCCAGAAAGAATGGCTATCATAAAGAAATCAATGAAAAATAAATGTTGGAGATGCTATGGGAAAAAAGAACCCTTCTCCACTGCTGGTGGCAATGTAGATTTGTGCAACAGTTATGGAAATCAGTGTGGAGACTCCTTGGAAATGTTATACTGGAATCCCATTTAAACCAGCTATTACTCTACTGGGAATTTTCCCAGAGGATATGAAAACATCATATCATAGGGATATATGTGTGCCTATGTTTATAGTAGCACAATTTGTGATAGCCAAATCTTAGACACAACCAAGATGCCCATCACCTAAGGAATGGTTGGAAAAATATGGTATTTTTACACAATGGAGTATTATTCAGCTATTAAGAACAATAAACTCGAAGCCTTTCTATTGAAGTGGATGCCACTTGAATATATACTCAAAGTGAAATAAACCAGACACACATGTGTAAATACAGTTTATTTTCCTAGTATAAGAACTCAAAAGAAGATATACAAAAAGAATATTATAATACAAGTAAAAGGAATGCAGGACCTCGAGGACTGACTAATGAAGAGAGGGAAAGGAGAAGAGCTAGGAAACCTGACAATGTCAAGCCATAATGCTATATGTAGAAGATGGGTAAGGCAATGATTGTGAGAATCTGCAGAAGATTTTTAAGTCCAGCAGT